AAAAAGTCTTTTTTTTAAACCAGTAATTATTTCAGAAACCTGTAACTATGTTAGCATTTAACCAATAATCTATTATTTACTTAATATTTCTGCTATTCATATGAAATCATTTAAGCAAAACACCAAAGGAAAAAATATTAAAAAAATTTAAAATAAAATTTTTTTCCAATTACAATATATTGAATAAATTGCGAAAAGGTTATGCATTTATAAAATACGTAATTTCATCAGTATTTCTCATCAAACTTTAAATTTCAAAATAAAAAGACCAAATTCGATTATGAAGAATTATTTTTCTCAGATAACCATACTCATTGTTTATACCAGTTCTTTTTCAAAAACTATAATTCAGTCTTTTTTTTTTTTTTTTTTCAATTTCTACTTATACATAAGCCAAAAACTGCTCTGACCTGCGAATTCAACTGCTTAATATGAAAATTTTTCGACTGTTATTGATAAAAGAATAAAAAAAATTTCATTCTGCCCATTGAATGTTTCCAAATTACTTAGGAATTTTTGTGTATGTATATATATATACATATATATATATAAAATAAACCTGCCAATAATCGTCTTTCTCGTTGACTATACACGGTTTAAAAGGGAGGAGACAGCAAAAATATAAAATTAAAAATTAAACAAAAATAGTTTTAAAAAAAATTTAAAAAAAAAAAACAGATGGTTGCTAATAACTTTTACGATATACTAATTCGTAAAGGCCAAGATTTACTACAATCATAATTGTACATCTCGAAGATAATGCCACGATTATCTTTGTAATAATTTTTGATGAGCTGAGTTCGAAACATTAAAATAACAACTGCAAACAATCAACAAATACGGTAACATGGTTTGGTACGTTTAAAAAAACACTCGGTTCATCGTATTTCATTTAATTGTTTTAAATAAACAGAGAAAAAAATAAAACTGAAAATACCAACTTTCCGTTTATAATTTGCCAAGATTCGGGAGTTCAATCACCTCGGCATAAAAAAGGATCCATAACAAACAAGAAAACTGACGAAAGAAATAAGAAAGATTTTAATTAACCATTGAACGCTTTTTAAATTTTTCTAAAAAAACATGAAAAAAAAGCGACATCTTTTTTCGTGGGACAGTTTGATGTTACACGACTTTTAGGCATGTTTTCAACAAAAGTTACAAGAATGACCTTACCTTAATCGTATACTCAAACCAGATCAATTGGTGATAGGTAGAAGTGCGAAAAAGAGCTCATAATAAATCCCATCACAATTTATACCACATATCGATTGTAAGCTCGCGAGCAAGAGAACAAAACAATAAGAGAGAGATTTTTAGTTGTGTAAGGTGGAATGAGGGAGAAGTAAAAAAGAAGAGACTGTGTCCCGGAAACAAAGACCTCCGCCGAAAGAACACCAGAATAGAAAGATAGTTGGCACAAGAAGAGACACAAACTATGCGCGACAGTAGGAATTGGAGATGAAAACAATCGGGCAACACACGCATCGGAAAATTTGTCGGAGACTACTTATTTTATTTATTTATTTATTAATTTATTTTTTAAAATTATTTTTTTTAATTTTTCCACCTCCGTAAACAACGATTTTCTTTTCAATGCATCCGCTCACATAATTCTTCGATTACAAGCTTCAGAAGCATAATTTCCAATAAGTCTGCATTACTTTTTCATAGCATTTCAGTACAGCAGATAGAAATTCGAATGAGAGCCTCAGTTTAAATCCAAAATTGGGAGGACGCGTCTTATAATGTGTGTCTTCAAGAATTCCCGTAAGAAGTAATTTTGATTTCATAAAGTTAACAACATAGGGTTATGTATGAAACTGTACATCAGGTATATAGCCTCCACGGTTTTGATGGCAAATACTTACTCTTTTGATGACATTTTAAACACAGAAATGAGAATGGATTTTGTTTATACATCACTAAATTCCCTTCTTTAAGATGTGGGGGGTTAAAGGCTTACCCAAGATTTCAAAAAAACAACAACAAAAAAATTCACGCTGTTAAACGCTGACAGCAAATTCAATCTTAAAATATAAATTTTTAAAATTTACCATACAAATATTTCCTGATAAGAGTCAAAACAGGAAAATATTTGATTCGGGAGTGATTCAATATTGCCTAACAATAAAATTCATTTTTCCATGTAACGCTCTTTTAAATATAGATGAACTGTGAGCTGTCCCAGTTTTTTTTTTTCTTTGCTGGTAAAATTTTTTTGAAATGCTAAGATCGAGGCTTTCAAATTTTTCTCCTTCTTAAATTTCCAGAGTAGTCAAACCCTTCAAATTAAGTCGAAACTAAAAAATGATACATTATAAACTCTTTTAAAAATGTGGAAAATATCATTCCTCACTGATGCTATGCTGCAAAGACATTTAATTTTAGAAAAAAAATTAATACAATATAATAATTTTATAAGAAATGAAACGTGGATAAAAAACGCATCGTAGGCTATCAATTATACTGATTAAAACAGACTAATCAATAATGAAATACTTCCCAAATGAACTTAAATCACAAACCACTATTTCACTTTAATTATACCTGTAAATCATAATTGTTAATCAATAACAGCAATAATTCAATGAGACAGAGATTTTGTTTCTGATCATTGTCCTTTAAAAAAAAAGGGTCCCCCCCCCTTGTCTTAAATGTTCTTCTTTTGCATAAAAAAATAAAAATAAATAAATGTGACAAATATACATATTTTGCTCAGAATGTATTAAGAACTAAAGCTTCACTAAGTATGTTTGAATTTAAAAAAAAAAAGAGAGAAAAGAGCATACAAAAAAATGCAAAATGGAATTATATATGACTATCTGTATAGGGCAAAATTAAGGATCGTCACTGGCCGACTAAGCTTAAATCGCGAAAAAAAAAATCTTCTTTTTTTTGCCTATCACCCAATGGCCACTGATTTTTTTTCTTCTTTTTTTTTGCCTAAAATTATTTTAATGTGCATTTTAGTACTTTTTTAATAAATATGAAATTATTTTGAAAATTTTATAGTGTTCTAAAATTACTTGATTTCGAGCTAGTTTCTTAATTTTTAATTTTTATTTTAGAAATATACCCTGTAATGTTTAGCATATTTTGAAAAAAGCTTAAAAAGAAATGCCCTACATTATTATTATTAGGATTTTTTAATTGTTTAAAACTTTAAATTTTTGAAAAAGTAAATGGAAACTGGCTATTTCGTCCCATACCTCTCTCTCTGGTTTCGCAAAAGTTATGATACAAAAATACGCTGCATTTTAATGTTTTCATTTTTAGGCTTTTTTTAAAGGTCAAATTAAGTTCTCAACTGAAATTCAGAAAATATAGGTAAATAAATTTTTTGAAATTTTTTTATAAAATAGTAATTGACACAGTTTTTTAATTAGGTTGCCTGGCAAACAAATTGGGACTTCTTCAAGGGCCACCCAAGAGCAAGAGAATCCACATAAAAATTTAATATACAATAAAATTAATTTGATAGGAAAGAATAAGACAGTAAGAAACTATTATAACAAAGCCTTTTTTTCAACTAAATTATATTTGTATCAAATATTTTATCAAGTACTTATATCAAGTACTTAATCCAGATACCCGAATAAATGATAAATCATGAGAAGAGCTAATTACAGCTATTTATGAAAGCACGATTGGTGCGCTAAAACGCCAAATGTACCTAAAACCATTGCTTAATAAACTACAGTAATGGATAATTAGTACTTAAAAATTTTTAACAATTAACTAAGTCTATAAAACCAGTCATTATACACCGAAGAGTCATTACATTATGCTAATTACCCTGCTAATAACATGTAGGACCACCTTCAGCCCTCAAAACTGCTAGCACCTGCCGTGGCATTGATTCCACAAGGTGCTGATAGGTAGTCTGAGGTATCTGGTACCAAGCGCTCACCAACTGGTCCTGCAATTCTCTCACATTGCGAGGGGGTAGCGTGGCAGCACGAATTTGGTTTTCCAAGTAGGACCAC